GTGAGAAAGGAGACATTGGGAGGAGTGGAGAACTACATACCCTGGACCCACTTCATCTGCCAGCAGCAGTTCTGTTCCCATTCTGGAGGGCAGGATGAACAGGAAGGAAATGTGGGTCAATAACAGCTGAATGGGGTGGCTGGGGGAAATGGGGGAAAATCTGGGGAATCACAAAACAGCTATCAAGCTTGTAGCTTTTGACATTTCACTCCTCTTGGATGTTTGTTATTGCCAGTGTGTCTTATCGGTCTACATTATAATACCCTTTATGTATCAGTGGCTGTCACAATTCATGCTCATGCAGAAAGGGTTTCTGATTTAGAGGAAAGGCTGTGGGTGCTGCTGTAATACCAATGCTAAAAACAGCATGTTTGGAAATATTAATTCCACCTGCTGCAAAGAAGCTTTCACTACTGCCAAATGAGAAACATTGCCCTCTTAGGGGTTGATATAAAAAGATGCAGTTAATGGGGTTACAGGAGGAAAAAGCTTTTCAGAGAACTGCTGGAGCCTTTGGAAAAAAAGATGGGCTCAAATTCTCTCTGAAACAGCACAACCCAGGGGAATGCTAGCAGGATGGCCACTCCTCGAAAGGGGATCAGCAGAGGAAGGAGAATCACAGAACGCTTACTTTACTTGTCTCATACAAGCAAAGCACTACCCAATGCTGATGCTGGTCAGCCTCAAAACGAATCAAGGCGACAGAAGTTGTGATGGTGACAGACAATGCATGCTGCAGACAGGATGAGCAGGAGAAATGAATTTGGCCTTGGAGACAGGAATGATGGGGGTAGGGGGAGTGGGTGTGTTCATTACATTCACAAAAGCTTTCAGTGCGGCATGTGTCCTTCAAAGCTCTAGGAGCCTCTGCCAGAGAAGCATTTCCCTGAGCTTTTATTCAAGTTACCCTGCAGTCTCTGTCATGACTAAGAAGCAGCGCTCAGAACAATAACACACAAAAGGCTGGATTGACATCCACAGGAGGAGTCTGGCAGGGTCGCAGGGTGTCAGTCTAGCTGTTCAAGTCAGCTTCTGTGCTGAAACCCTAATGTGCATCTTTTCTGGTGATCCTGCCCTTTGCATTATGCCAATTACGTGGTCCTCGGATCAAGTGTTGAAAGCTGGCGTGCAATTCAGATTAAGTCCCCATGTGGAATTAAAACAGAGCGAAGCAATGACACTTGGCAAGTAGCCACATATTTCAACCAAGATAAGAGCTGGAAAAGAAGAACTGAGTGCAGGAAAGTGTTCTGCTCTGTGATGTGAAGAGGATGGATACTGTTCCTAAGATAGCCATAGGAGGTCAGCTATGGTTCACTCAATTCTGGTACAAATTAAATACCAGTGTGGAGAAAATAAGTCTATCATAACCGGAAGGGTGAGAGTAAAGCAAGCACTGATTTTCCTTCTTGCCAAGTACAGCTGTGAACACTGGGCTCCTAAAGACAATGAGGTGAAATGGAGTCTTTAGAGATCTCATGCTGGCTGACACATTCTCTGACCACTATGATTAGAAAAACGTGACAAACCAGAACCACGAACATCCTATCTACGGGAAGAGATTAAGTGGAACAAGCTAAAATGTTTTGGGATTTAAACAAGTGAGACGAGGATGTTACAAAGCTGAGAGGCAAAAAAATAGTGGGGAACAACACTGAAGATGGATATGGTGAAGGAAGGGTTGGCCCACAAAACCAGCATCTCTCTGCAAATGCTAAAGGAGGAGAGGGAATCTGAACTAGTATGGCTCCATGTGCATTTCCAGCAGAACACCTAAGGAAGGGCTTTTAAGAGACTTCTGTCTGGCTTGCAATTCTCATGAAAGAAGAAGAACTCTGTAAATCACTATTCAGTGCGCCAAAGGATTCCTGCTATTGCAGAATAATTTAAGGAAGAACTCTAAGTTTAAGGACCGGGTTCATTTATTTCTCAAGTCTGTCTGCTCCTTCCCCTGGGTGGCAGAAACAGGCAGAAGCCATCCTCACATGGTGGGCTCAGCATGTAAGCACCTGCTTTTGACAGCCTCCACCTGAGGAAGGGTAGCTATTAAATGCCTGTATCAGGTCCTGCAGATTGGAGTACTGCAGTGCACTGGACTTGAAGACCATTCAGGAACTCCATTTGGCACCAAAAGCTGTGGCCTGGCTACATGGTACTTCTTGTCTGGCTTCCAATGGGTCAATAGAAAGAGATGGGTTTTGATGTACAAAGCTCTTTATAGGTTCAGTCTTAAGGGGTTTTGCTCTTGAAGAACTATCCTGGCAATCAGTATCAGCAGAGATTCTCAAGAGGACACAGCTGTCTGAGGCCCCAGGATCAGTTCTCAGTTAGTCTAACCAAATCAGTCTCCAATCACTAATGTTCTCTCCTGCTCAGAGAATATCCAGGAACCAGAAAGATTTCCTTCATCTTATTCAGCATTCAGAATTGATGCTTTTTGCCTTTTTTTTTTAATAAGTCTTAACTGGGAGCCATGCACTTCCAAATACCTTATGTACTTTACAGAGGGTACTTTACAGAGCAATTGGTCAGACCAGGTAGGTATCACACAATTGTTTCTGTCCTGATTACATGATGGCACAAGTATGACTGGCATGAATACCCAGGTGGGAGAAATCGGAATTTGATTTTGTCAAGCACAAACAACCCACCATTTTCCAATTTTCTTTGGGCTCATTAAAATTTAACCTTGGGAAGCCAACACAAAAGGACACAAGCATCAAACATCCAACCATGCATTCCTGAAAAGCTTGCTGCAGCATCCAGCCAACCCTAACTCCTGCTGAAGGACCCTGTCTTTGTAATGTGCTTCTACCCCCTGGGTTTGAATCTAGGGTTGCAGCGCTTCAGGCCATACTGCAGAGACTAACAAGATTACCTGAAATGTTCTGAAGGGTGGTTTTGGGTTGCTGGGTTAAGCTAAACACAGATCAACTGAAAAGCTGCATTTTTACCCTTTCCAGAGTAAAATTTTAGATTGATAACAAGCACTTCTTACAAAAGGAAAAAAGTATGGCAGATGGAGAGCAAGGACAGAGCGGGGATAAGAGACTTTCTTACAGGACTCATAGTGAGCCAATGTCACAGCCAGCTATAGAAGTCAGCCATGCTATTTCTTCTAGTCCTCTGCTCAACTTCAAGTGTGTATGTGTGGTTAAGTGCACCAACTTCTTCCACATTATTTCAGCTTCCTAATTTCCCATTTCCTTGCATGATTTATTCTACGGGCCATCTGACAGTTGCACAACTCAGTGTCAGTTTTTGCTGACATTATTAGAAATAATTAGAAATTATTGTGGGGCAAATTCATCACAAACATATATAAGTGAAATTGCGCTGAAACCAATGGAGTTACACTTGCTTATGCCCGCAGAAACTTTGGCTCTGTATCAGCTTGCCCAGGCCCACAGACGGGGTGTGAGGTGTTTACATACAGCCCCCGGTGAGGAGATGCTGATGATCAGAAAATGGAACTGGGCTTCTAGATGTCATTTTGTGAATCTGATAGGGAGAGGAGATTTCTGGACAAAGCAGCTTTCGTTTGGGCAAGAGGTTTCTCATTTTCTCTGTGACCTTGCCTGATGAAGCTGGCACAACAGTCCTAAGACAGTGATCAGCACAGGCAAGCCAAACAACCCAAAGCTACAAGCTGCAGTAAAGCAACAGTGAAGCAAATAGGAAGGCAGGAAATGGAGAAAGAATGGGGAGGTAGAGAGTATTATACCAGAGCACTAAAAATAGTATGCAATTATTTACAAATATTCTAGCACTGAAGGAAACAGATGAGACCAATGCGTGGCCCATTTGTACCATGGGTGCTTTGTGCCGCTTGTTGAGGACACTCATTCTTTTCCAGCAAACCAGATGCTGAAAACCATTTTTTTAAAAATATACTGATGGATTCTCAATGGAGCGAGACGGGACCCCATTGCCCAACCCCACCAAAAAATAAAAGGAGTAAATAAGGGAGAGGATATTTGGAGACAAAGAAGGAAAATAGCACTTTCCTCAAGACGGCTGATACAACTCTGTCAACCTAGCATAGATCAACAGTGGCCTCCAGTGGCTAAAGGGATTCATCGCATCTCTGGGCTCTAGTTACTCTCTCTCTTTCTTTGGGCAGGGTAACAATTCAGTGCAGACCTGTTTCAGAATGTCCTTGTCTGGTGTCTACTTCAAGATCCCTAATGTAAGTGAAAAACCACATTAATTATCTGTGTGGCCTGAGGGAAGCTGAAGAAGTTCTGTCAATCAAGGGACATTTTGATGTCATTAGTGCACGTGGGGAGCTGTGACCCCTGTTTCAGATAACAGGGGAATGGCAAATCATTGAGCCTTTGGTTGGAGCTTCATGTTTAATATTCAAAAGCCATGAAGAACAATACTAACAGATACCCCACACATTTAAATTTGCTAAGACATCATCTGAACATGTTAAGACTCTCTGAACAGAGCACTGCAAGTCCTACTGAAATCCTTTACACCACATGTTCAATTTATCAAACAAATCCAAGTTTGAAAGCACATGGGCCCCTCCAAAGAAACAGCCTTCAAATCAGGGGTAGCTAAAAAGAACATGCGATTTTTTTTAAAAAACACCAAATCATTTTTTTACTCCAAAATTCGTCCTTGAACTGTAGTTTTTGAAAGGCTCAAGTTTTAAGCTGGAGTGAATCTATGGAGGTGAAGTTACTAAACTGAACTGACCTCTCACTTGAGAAAACTGAAAATTAGATCCTAGTGAATGCAAGTGAATCAGAGAAACTAGACACAGGATATTCTGAGAATAGCCAAGAGGTTCTTTAGATTTAAGAGAATTAGGTGAACAACTTGAGTAATACTGAGTTTATCTTGATTAACTTGTCTGTCTTTCTTAAGGCTAACTTCTACATATTTTCTTCTCTACCTCCACTCATTCACTGAGTTCCATTCCAGGATTCTCCCAGATGAAATGGGAATTGGCCCCTGACTCCAAAAGATGTTTGCATTTTGGCTCTGACCTGTTTGGATGGGAGGTGGGTAACATGAACTGGAACTCCACTACACAGGTGTTGTCCTTTAGCTGCCGATGCTGGACACTGTTCAACTCATAAGCAATGTATGCTCTTCGAACATACACCTGGTTTAAAAAGAAATTCCTCATCAATTCAACTGTGACAGGGAAGCAGGAAAATAGAAATGATGCAAAATTAGAAAAGATTAAAAATAAAAAAAAAAAATAAAATGAATGCTACAAAATGAATATTTTCTGGACTATTCTTCTAATCTAAACTGTAAGAGTATCAAAGTTCCATTCATTACCTGAGAGCCTACCGCAAGGAACATCTCTGTCAGTGGCCTACACAACGTATCTTTCAATCCACTTACATTTGAAATGGTATTTCCGTGAGCCTGGAAATTTCTTCCTGACCCCAGCTTGTAACTAGTTTGTACCCTGAAGCATGAGCACTAATAAAAGTGGTATGTAATGAAGGAGAGAGGAAACTACCTTATCTCCATTTAAGCCAAAAGACAGGAACAGCTCAGGCAACTTGCTGCGATTCAAACACTGCACATGGCTTTCTACAGTGGTTCAAGCCATATGACACTAAATACCAGACTCCAGGTTTTGATCCAAGCTTCCCCTCCATCATACCGACTAGTGGTCCTCAACCTTTTCAGTCTCGAGGTGCCCCTCCGTGGATGAGGCACCCTCCATAACTTTTGTGAATTGAGTGGCAACCAATTTCAAAAGCTAATTGACATATCTCAGTGCCTACCTCCTTATACAGGAGTGAAGGATCATCCAGGCAGAAATAAGCCTGGCTTATCTGCTCATCTCCTCACACCTCACCTATCTTCTCACCCCTTTCAAAGGATCTGGCAGCGCTTCAGGTGCCCCAGTACCCTGGTTGAGAATCACTGGTACAGATATTTGGATAACTGGATGCCAGGCTTATCTATAGTAAAACTTTTTTTTTGCTAAGCAAGAAAATGCTGTCCAAAGCACTGACAGGGACAAAAAAGGGGGGGTGGGAAACCACCAAAAGAAAAAGTTTGCTTTTAAGTGGAAAGAAACATACCTCCAGAGCTGCCATTCTCACCACCTGGTTACTGTGATAGAAGAAATTTGGTAGCACATCAAAGATGGATGTCTCAGACAGAATGAGTTTCTAGAAGAGATCATAGAGAAGAGCATTTGAATCAACTTGGTACAAGGGTTGAATAAAAAGTTTCCACAAAATATTTTTTGGGCACACACATTGTTTCCATTTCCTGGACAGCTCTACTTTCTCTGTATTAGTTTTTTCACTGTGGCAGCATTTAAGAGGCCTCAGGGACCCCTGTACCAGCCATTGGACCCACACACAGCAAAACAACAGTCCTGACACTGTAAAGAGCTTACAAGTTCTATGCCAATTTACTGCTGCAGAAGACAGCCCAAACACTTTAAGTCACAGCCTACATTTATAGGAAGACATCGATCAATTTAACGTGTGTGGTGATTAATCCTTCACGGTTATGAGGCAAAAAAATTGAGGCTCGTACTGAAACAATGACCTGAGTACAAATTGGAAACAGTACGGACTCGTAGAGGACAGCACTTTTATTAGGTAACTTAAGAAAAAGTAGGTACATGACAGCATTTAGTCTATTTAGGGCTAGGATAGGATAAGCTCAGAGTCCAGCCAAAGCTGCTCCACACCTGCCAAAAGGTCGAGTCGGACAGTACATAGCTGATGTCTCAGCACTCAGAACGCTCCCCATCACAGTGTCACCTGGCCTAAACTAGACCTGTCTTAGAGTAGTCTAATTTTGTCAAGCATTTCCATTCAGAACTCAAACCATTTAAAACCAAAAGGAAAATCTGAAAACTGACTGATGCTATCAAAGAAAGCAAGTGCTTTAAATACAAACACACAGCCACAATTAACTGGAGCACCGAGTATCTGCAAAGCACTGTATTCTAACAGTCAGAATCCCAATGGAAGACTCCACTCCAGGTGGGCAATCCTGGACCGTATGCACTGAAGAAAAAGCTAAGCAATATGGCAGTATAGCAAGTGTCTAACAAAAGACCTCTACTGACATCTGCGTATTAAAGCATCACGAAGTAGGAATCTGAACCGAGGTATTTAGAGCAACAACAAGTCTGTGGAACCTAAAGCAAGATTTCACACAAAATTGGTACCACTGAGCTTAATAAGAAGGAAGCAGGGAAGACAACTCTGTAGATACCTGCAGGTTCTCAATGCAGAACTGGTGTCCGTACATGTCAATGGCTGATAGGAAGATGGACTCCACCTGGTTGTGACGCAGCTCGTATGACGGCAAATGGGAAGCAATGAGAACCTGGTAAGAAAGCAGATGCAGAGTGAGTGTCAGAGGGCACACATCTCAGTTATATTTGGCCATTATTAGGACACAGTGCAAGGCCAGGAAGACTCGCTCATCCATAATTGCCAAGCTCCTCTACCAGACACTAATGTTCGCTCTGCATGTGAGCCCTAGGCACTGCAGCACATGGAAGATGCCACAGAAACCAGTCTCATTTGTGTATCTCCGTGATTTGTATTCCTGGCTCTTCCCCACAGAGAAAGGGAACAGCTTCAATCCAGTTTTATCAGTGCATGTGATTTAGCACTGCAAAGCTGCAAGTCCAGGGGACTGCCCAACCAGCTGTTAATTGGAAAGCAGAGCTGGCAAGCAGCAGCTGTGGAGAGGCCTACAACGGAGCCAAGCCTTTCACAGCTTCAGAGCAAAGCAAGCAAGAGCCACTCATGCCAGGTACTAAATGCTGAGAGCCTAAGAGAGGATGGGAGGAAGGGGCAGCAGCTTGCAAAGGAAAATAGAGTGCAAGAGCAGCATAAAGATATCCACCAGGATGGCAGCAGCCTCCCCAGCGTGCTGCTGAGAGGTTCAATAACTCTGAATGGTTCAAGGACACGGATATAATTCCACAGCAAACAGAAGGTCACTGAACAGCTTCAAACACCCCGTTCATTTTCAACGCTCGTGCACTGAAATAAAAGGAGAGCTCCCCAAACTGCCAGCTTCCCTGCTGAAGACTTTTAGAATGGAAATGGGAACTGTAGAGGGAGAGAAGTTAACTAGACTTGGAGGGTCAGCATTATTGAGAGGCAATTATACCCTTCCACTCCTTTATTACTAGAGACAAACTGCTAGATAGGACACTGAAAGATATCCACCCAGTGTACATATATGGGATTCAAACCATCAGCAACACTTGAATTGCAGAAAGGACCCTGCAAGGTTTTTTTCCTATTAGGTTTTTTTTTTCCTTCTTTTAAACTACTATTTACAATAATCCCTTCAGCACTGGAAAGAGACAGCTGTTTCTCCTCTAAATGTCTTGTTCCAGGCTACACATTCACTCATTTGCTGTTCAAACAGACTGCAAGCACTGGTTGTTTACTGTAGGGTTGTTCAGGCATCATAGGCAGCAAACTCTTGGCATTCTAGCATTCGTCGACTAGGGATGTGATCATCTAGGCTGACTTCCTGTCTAATGCAAGCCAGAGGGCTTCCCTGGATTCATTCTTGGTTTAGCTAGGACCTAAACTTTAGAAAAACCTCAAATCTTGAATTAAAATTTCCAGAGATGGAGAATCCACCACAACCCTCGTTAACAACTTATTCTGATAACAACTCACTGGTGAATTATCTCTGCTGTTAACGGGTTGCTCAAAAACACTAAGCTTTTCATGTTTACTTAAGAGATAAAAATCCACATCAAACAGCCTGGGCTTTATGGAAGTGATCATTAAGACAGCGAAGGAGCCCATTTTGATCTTGTCGACTTGGACTGGGTCTCCTTGTAGCAGGATGCCTACAGGGCTGCGCTTACCTGACGTGCCCGCAGCGCTACTTTAGCATTGGTCGTCTTGCTCAGCTGGGTCAGCTCAGTCAGAATATTAATTAACTCGTCTGTCAAGGTGGGGTCTCGGCCACACAGTTGGTCCTACAGAGAAGGGGGAAATGTTTAAAACAAAGACCCCCCCCAAAGGAACATCAAAGTGAAATGCTGATAGATGTGCTGATGCGGCTCTGGAGCTCTGCCCAACACTTAAATAAAGATCATGAGCTGGATTGGAGAGCAAAGAGGGTCAAGGAAGAGGTGGGTAGCACCAATCCTTTTATTATTCATTTGCATCCTTTGCTGTGGCATCCCAGCAGCAGAGGCGTAGGCATTCGTGAGCCAATGAAGCACGGTACAACCCTCTTCTCCCGTTACCCAACCTCAGCTCTTATTCAGGACATCTCTCGCAGAGTTCAGAGAATATCTGACCAGAACAAAATAACCTGTGGACAGTGTGCTGAAAAGCAGAGAACTTGGGCTCTGAAAGATCAGAGGAAGAGTTTGACAGCTGAGGTCCTCCTGCTGAAATTGTTGCTCATACCTTGCAGCGCCGTTAAGCATTTCCATGATGCTTCCCAATATGGCTACAATAGCCCCTCCTTTTCCTATGCACCAAGTGACTTTCCTCTACCCCAAACTCATTTTCAATCCCCAGCTTCTTATCCCTAATCCCCTCTTCTGGGATTTGCCAGTGCTTATCACATTAAAAATAAAATCAGTCAAGTTTCCAATTCCTACCCCCACCTCTGCCATTAAAAAATAGTAACAAAATAAGTTACCTGATTTCTTCTCATAAAAAAGTTGATATTCCCATTTGTCCCATTTCCCTCTCACCTCTCCACCTGCCCCCACTGATGCCCCAGTCACATTCCCTGTTCAGTCAGAAGCCTAAGGTCAGCCCCAGTCTTGCAATCAGCTCTTTGTGAACTCTTTTGGCTCCACAAAGTTGTCTTTCAGAATCGGGGCCACATATTAACACGGTCTTAGGACAAAGCCTTTGCATTTTTATTCATCTATAAAGGTGGTGTGCCTCTTTAATATAAGCAACAATATCTAGAGGCAGTCAGAAAAACTGCTTCCCAAAGCTACCAATTTTCAAACAGAATCCTTGAGAAACACTCATCCTGATTAATCTAGACCCAATATATGGGATAAGCAGTCTTCATGTTAACTCCTAATTAACAAAAATTATTCTGTGATAATTTTTTTAATTCCAATGAGAACATATCTGTACCTTCGTCAAACATGAAGACAGCAAGCCAAGCTGTACTGACTAGAAGCAGAGGCAAAACCAACTAGCTTATTTCATTGTCCAAACCGATTGAAATGCACAAGAAAACTGAATGGTATTAATGGTGAAAAGCATGTTAGAATTTCAGTATCTTTTCAGCTTCAATAATTGAAAAATATTTTTAAAATAGACTTTTGTTGTCTTCTCTAAATAAACAAGGTGCGACCCTGCAAGAGCTGGCTTCCAGTAGTTCCTTACTCTCATGAATGACTCCACAGTCCTCCCACAGTGTCAGGAATTTGCAGGACAGTGCCGCCAAGTCTGTACCCCTCTGTGAGCACCTCTAAAAAGCTTCTTTTAGGCAGAACCACCACACTATTCACGCACAACAGAAATGATGGGAGATAAATGAGAGATGAACTGGGTATTCTGTGACATTAGACAGTGCATTACAGACATTTTAAGGGATTTCAAGCACATGTAGACCAAAATGATCTATTAGGGTCTAAGAAGCTAAAGCTAAGCAGAAAACTCTTTCCATAGTAGGTTAACTTTTTGGATAAGCCTCCTGGGGAAAATAAAATAAAAGCCATACAAACCTCATCAATACACTAATAAATAACAGTTGGTGCCACATCCCAACTCCAAACCTAATGAGTTTTTAAATGGTTTTCAGTCCCCTCCTCCAGCTTTATGCCCTTTCTAGGGCCCTACAGCAAAGGAACAGATCAAAAGTCACATCACTTTCAGTCATCTAAGCTACTGGCTTGTTGACTATTGTCTCTCCCTAACAGGGTTTGGGATCACATGATCCAAGCAAATAGTACAATTATAAGCAGCACAAAAATCCCCATAACCATATTTGTTCAAGATTTGCAAGTGAATCCACAGAAAGAGAATATTTCAAGAATCTTCTGCATATTATTTAAAAATATATATACCAGGCACCTTGACCTGTTTGCTCTAAAAACAAAAAAATGGCTTCTGAGAAGACTGTACAGTTGTCTCACATATTTCTGGAGCTGTGTGGTAGAAGGAGAACAAAAAACTCATGTGTTCCTGTTCAAAAACCCAGGCTTCTACCACTCCTAGATCTCCACTTGGAGCACAAGGCCTATGACATGCAGAGGAGCTGTTCCAAGTCCAGCTGGTTGGGATTAGCGGTCCACATACAAAGAGGCAGGTGAGAAAAGAATCTGAAAGGGTAATGTCAAGCCATGCTACATTGCAAAAAACGCATGAAAGATGAAGGAGTTCCCCATTCTGCTCCAAACAGCTGCTAGCTAAAAGCGTGAATGATGGCTGCATAACAACACTATTACTAATATCATCCTCATAGCCCTTGTTAATACTGGATTCCTAGGGATACATCAATAACAGCAACACAAGTATCAGACTATCTTGACATGATGCTTGCCCTTGGAGGACAAACTTAACAACCCCATATAAATAGCATGGCGACCTTTACCAGCACTGTGTGTGCCAAGAGGTGCAACTCACATGGGTAGCACAAGATAGGTGACAGGAGGACTGGTCTGATAGTTAAGGTGCTGGACTTATGTGCCAGAAATCAGTTCTGGACCCAGCTCTGCCAAAGACATTGTTGAGACCTTAGGCAAGTCACTTAAACTTCCTAAGCCTCAGTTCTCCACTTGCTATTGTATTTCCCTACACCCCTGCATTTACCTGAGGGGAGGGATTCATGTTTGTGAGACCTCAGATGCTTCAAAGCTATATACACAAATGTGATATGAACTTAGTCTTCTTCTGCCAAAATACGCTCCCTACAGCATATTTTCTAGGTCTGTGCTTTAACACTGCGAAGCAGCTGGGCTTCCTGCATCAAACTGGGGTGAACATAGGGAGAGAAGAAACAAAACAGGAGAGAAAGTAAACGAATAACATACAATAAGAAGGTTAGCTGAGCCTTTCCTATTTCCCCACTGTGGCCTGCTGGCTCACTCAGAAAAGATTTTTCCAGTCAATGTGAAGACACAAGCATGACTCTGCCTTTAAGATTTGGCTTTTGCAGGGGGGGGAGAGGCGGAGAGAAACAAAAAAAGTTTCAGTCCCATTCTAGTAAGAAATAATCAGGATGACAACAACAGAAATAAAGCAGCTAGCCGGTGTTCCATTGGCTTCTGCCTGCGCTGATTGGCAAAGGCAGCGAGCAAAGCCTCAAACCAGTTCTTTGACAAGGCCTAACGCCTCCCCGGCACCCCCGTGTAATTACACACTTGAGTGACTGGACTCTGAAGAAAATTGAAGGCCTGAGCTGCGAACAGCTGCCATTTTCTCTCTCCATCACGCCAGCATGATTACTTGAGAAATGAACAGCCCCAGCTCAAAGCTACTCCAGAATTCTCAGAGGAAATATGGCTCCGTGTTCAAATAATGAGATTCTTAAGGCAAGCGTTACTTACAATCACACCGCAAAAGGGGGGAAGAAAAAAGAGAATGAGAGAGAGAAAGAGAGAAGAATGCTGGGTCCCTTATATCTTACAAATTAGGATTTAAAAAGCTCAGCCAGTCTGGGACAAACATTACCTTTTTGCTGCTCCTAGGAAGGTTTTTTTTGTTTTTGATTTTTTGGGTGCTTTGGATCTATTTAGTGGCACAAAATCGCTTTGTCTTTACCCGAAAAAAGAAAAAAAGAAAAGTGGCTCTATAATTAGCTTCTTAGAAAGCAAGGCTTCAACTCAGGGTCATGCTTAAAATCATGCGGTATCTAACTCTGCCTACCTCAAGAAAAGCTAGCACACACTGCTTTTGCAAAATATTTATTTGCCACTGAAATTTTTTCTTAACGTCAGAGGGGGTGTATTTAGATACTGGGGGGAGGGACTTTTCAAGGGCTTTTCACCTTTTGAGAGAGGCTAAAACTGTTGGGTTTCACCCATTGGTGGAAAGCTGGAAGCCACGGAGGCTCAGGAATAAAGCCTCGGACACAATCACATGTTCCCTGGTTTTTCTGTCGAGTTGTTAATTTGCAGGTCTGAATATTGAGGGGGAAATGGCCAACCTGTGAACTGAAACTCTTCTGGTCTCTAGTAGGCTGGACAGCCAGCCAAATGGTAGGACTCCTGCAGTGAAATGCCCAGCAGGGGGTTCTCTGGACCCATCCAGCCATGGGAGCTTCCCAGGCATCATCTATTTTGTACATTTAAGAGAAGGCAACTTCCAGGATGGGATCTGTGGCTTACAAAAGCAAGCGCCAAGTGTAAAATACTTATCAGACATTTGCACAAAACATGAAACTCCAAAGGGACATTGGCCCAAGTTCCTCCACCATGACTGCAAGGCACTAAAGAATCTAGCTGAGCCCTACAGAGAATGCAAAGGGTGCAGCTGGTCAGAGAGCAGCACTGCAGGTAACAATGAGTCATTCTGATATCACAACCACAGAGAGACTTAAGAGTGCATCAGCTGCTGAACCAATGAGATTATAAAGTGGTTCATAACCAGAGAGTAACCAAGACCTCTGGGGACCATCGTCTGGACTGGCTGATGTCAGGTCACTATCGCAACCACGTCCTGGTTAGCAGGGATAGGTCATGGGAAGACTGTATTTGAATGCTGACAGCCTGTTTCCACAAGAAGTCGCCTGTCTTTTGTTATGCTGCAGGGTTTCTCTTTGTTTATATTTGCAATGTGCAGCTCTGGGGTGAGCAGCACAAACTGGCACAACGTTAGGACTCTGTACACCTCCCAGAAGGCTGAGGTGCAAAGGGAAAAATATAAATGGCAATCCGGAGGGCCTAGAAGTCAGCACAAGGAGCAGTAGGAGCTCTCTCAGTTTCTACTGCACCAACAAAAGTCATGAATACCACTGGGCCTTGCTGAGATTGCATCAGCATTCTCAGCAGAAAACCAGGAATGGAAACTGAACCGACCAAGGCTCTCCAAGTGCTCTCTGAGTCAGAGGTGAGACATACCACCAGGGAACCCTGGCAATCTCTGTGCCGTTGCTGCCTGTTCTGTGGTCCATGATTAGGACCACAGTCTCTGAGGCTCATGGCTGTCAATCTAGCATCTCTCACCAGCGCTAAACATTCACATACAAGATAAAATGAATTCCTAGGACCCCAAGAGCCGAACTTACAATGAGCATTGTTACAAGCAGGTTCTTCTTGGTGACCTGGGCGTGGGAGAAGATGTAGTTCAATACAGTGTTCATGTCACTTTTGTTCTCTTCCCGAAGCGCAAAGACACACTTGTCATAGTGACCTGGTGGAAACACAAACATCACTGCCTGTGTATACATAACCATTTTTGCTGCCTATCAGTTCTATCTGTACCACTAAATTCACACAGGGGAAAATACATATATAAGCCTATTCAACCAACATACCTATTTTTGGAGGCCTGAGTGAGCAAATTTGGAATAAAAACACTGGTTTCCTGGAAACTAGAAATCTTAAATGGTTTAAATAATTTTTTTGTTGGTTGCTTTTAATCCATTGCAATGCTAAATCATGTGGTGAAGGAAGAATGATGAGAGCTACTTAAGAAAGGAGTGTCTTTCATTCAGAAGATAATCAGAGGGGGGGAAATAAAATCCATAGGCTCACACAGTGCACTGGTGTGGAAATGGATCTAACAGTGAAAACCTGGAGTGTGTAGTGGGGTGGGAGGAAAGAGAAAGAGAACAGAATAAGGAGTATTGGGTTGTAGTAACTAGAGCCTTAAAGGAGTGGTGCTTCACTGCCATCTTGTGGCTGAAAGTACTGCAAAGGTGCATCCATTTAAAAATACATCTACTGTCATCTGTAGAGATGTCAAATTGTTCTAATGAGCAGTGAATCATTTCCTGGTACCTTACACTTTTTTAAAATTAATCCACAAATGTCTTATTGCATTCCATTTTCTTACAATAATACTCATCATGGCATTGCTTATTCTCCTGCCATAAAGGTAAACTTAATAGCTGACCTGATATTAGTTAATTTCTTTACGCTTCTCCGAATGACCAATTGCTCAGAAGTCAGGAAGTAAAATGGGCTGCAAAGTCAAGTACTACAAATCTGAAGAGCCCAGACCTTAAAATGCAACTTCAGAGAAATATCTAGGATGAACAACTACTTTAAACTGTGGAATCTATAAGAAAAATCAAAAAGCAGTCACAGAGGGATTTACCGTGCTGGAACTGAGTCTCCACCTTCAGGTACTGACGGAGAAGATCCATCACCACAGCCTTCATGTGGCCTCGAATACCACTTCGGTACCTGCAGAAACAGAGAAGGAAAGGCAAGTTAATAGAACTGATCAATACCAAAAAATCCAAAATGCTAACACATGTGCTCACATATGTAAGAACCTCTCAAGATGCAAGGCAGCAAGAATGGGCACGCTGCCCCTGCCACTTTCAACATGGGCAGCATGAAAAGCATTTTGCCCCATCAGCTTTCCAACTCCTTGACAAAAGGAGGGAGTTGAAGATATGAACTGCTTAAGGGACTCAGTACTAGGAACCAGGAGTGATGCACGATTCCCAGAGGCAAAGGGGGAAAAATACAAGTCTATCCCCACGGTTCAATTACTGGACAGACAACCAGGACTGGCAACAGTTGTGTGGGCCACATACAGGCTCCCTTCATAGCTGGTTTCCCCCAAAGATGCCTGAAGGCTTATTTCCAATGCTTTAGGAATCTGAGAACAAAAACTGCCCTGCCAGGGCAACGTTTTACCCAAGTTCAGCTCTTTCAGACAGCTTTAAAAAAAGGGGGGGGGGGGGG